TTCAGTGCCTGTATGCAATGCATTTCAGAATGAAGGTCGTAATTAGTAGCTCTGATATGTGTATGTCAACAGTATAACAGTTGCACTTGCTGTTTACATCTCCAATGACATAATACATATTAATGAAATAATTTAGTCACCTAAATAATTTTATTACAGTCATAAATATAAGAATATGTGAATTACATTCACTTGTTGTTTTTACCTTCAATGTACAGCACGGACCCACCAGAACCCAGCTGTGTGTCCATGAAGAGTGACTGGTTAATGGAACCTCCACGTAACTTTAGTGGACACACTGTAACATCATCCGATAAGGCCGATCGTTACAACACTAATCTTGGGTTTAGGTAAATGCTGTACTAAACCTTATATCTTGTTGTATCTTTATTGACACAAAGAAAGAACTGTGCAAATTCAATGCTGTAAAGAGTCTTCAGTGCCTGTATGCAATGCATTTCAGAATGAAGGTCGTAATTAGTAGCTCTGATATGTGTATGTCAACAGTATAACAGTTGCACTTGCTGTTTACATCTCCAATGACATAATACATATTAATGAAATAATTTAGTCACCTAAATAATTTTATTACAGTCATAAATATAAGAATATGTGAATTACATTCACTTGTTGTTTTTACCTTCAATGTACAGCACGGACCCACCAGAACCCAGCTGTGTGTCCATGAAGAGTGACTGGTTAATGGAACCTCCACGTAACTTTAGTGGACACACTGTAACATCATCCGATAAGGCCGATCGTTACAACACTAATCTTGGGTTTAGGTAAATGCTGTACTAAACCTTATATCTTGTTGTATCTTTATTGACACAAAGAAAGAACTGTGCAAATTCAATGCTGTAAAGAGTCTTCAGTGCCTGTATGCAATGCATTTCAGAATGAAGGTCGTAATTAGTAGCTCTGATATGTGTATGTCAACAGTATAACAGTTGCACTTGCTGTTTACATCTCCAATGACATAATACATATTAATGAAATAATTTAGTCACCTAAATAATTTTATTACAGTCATAAATATAAGAATATGTGAATTACATTCACTTGTTGTTTTTACCTTCAATGTACAGCACGGACCCACCAGAACCCAGCTGTGTGTCCATGAAGAGTGACTGGTTAATGGAACCTCCACGTAACTTTAGTGGACACACTGTAACATCATCCGATAAGGCCGATCGTTACAACACTAATCTTGGGTTTAGGTAAATGCTGTACTAAACCTTATATCTTGTTGTATCTTTATTGACACAAAGAAAGAACTGTGCAAATTCAATGCTGTAAAGAGTCTTCAGTGCCTGTATGCAATGCATTTCAGAATGAAGGTCGTAATTAGTAGCTCTGATATGTGTATGTCAACAGTATAACAGTTGCACTTGCTGTTTACATCTCCAATGACATAATACATATTAATGAAATAATTTAGTCACCTAAATAATTTTATTACAGTCATAAATATAAGAATATGTGAATTACATTCACTTGTTGTTTTTACCTTCAATGTACAGCACGGACCCACCAGAACCCAGCTGTGTGTCCATGAAGAGTGACTGGTTAATGGAACCTCCACGTAACTTTAGTGGACACACTGTAACATCATCCGATAAGGCCGATCGTTACAACACTAATCTTGGGTTTAGGTAAATGCTGTACTAAACCTTATATCTTGTTGTATCTTTATTGACACAAAGAAAGAACTGTGCAAATTCAATGCTGTAAAGAGTCTTCAGTGCCTGTATGCAATGCATTTCAGAATGAAGGTCGTAATTAGTAGCTCTGATATGTGTATGTCAACAGTATAACAGTTGCACTTGCTGTTTACATCTCCAATGACATAATACATATTAATGAAATAATTTAGTCACCTAAATAATTTTATTACAGTCATAAATATAAGAATATGTGAATTACATTCACTTGTTGTTTTTACCTTCAATGTACAGCACGGACCCACCAGAACCCAGCTGTGTGTCCATGAAGAGTGACTGGTTAATGGAACCTCCACGTAACTTTAGTGGACACACTGTAACATCATCCGATAAGGCCGATCGTTACAACACTAATCTTGGGTTTAGGTAAATGCTGTACTAAACCTTATATCTTGTTGTATCTTTATTGACACAAAGAAAGAACTGTGCAAATTCAATGCTGTAAAGAGTCTTCAGTGCCTGTATGCAATGCATTTCAGAATGAAGGTCGTAATTAGTAGCTCTGATATGTGTATGTCAACAGTATAACAGTTGCACTTGCTGTTTACATCTCCAATGACATAATACATATTAATGAAATAATTTAGTCACCTAAATAATTTTATTACAGTCATAAATATAAGAATATGTGAATTACATTCACTTGTTGTTTTTACCTTCAATGTACAGCACGGACCCACCAGAACCCAGCTGTGTGTCCATGAAGAGTGACTGGTTAATGGAACCTCCACGTAACTTTAGTGGACACACTGTAACATCATCCGATAAGGCCGATCGTTACAACACTAATCTTGGGTTTAGGTAAATGCTGTACTAAACCTTATATCTTGTTGTATCTTTATTGACACAAAGAAAGAACTGTGCAAATTCAATGCTGTAAAGAGTCTTCAGTGCCTGTATGCAATGCATTTCAGAATGAAGGTCGTAATTAGTAGCTCTGATATGTGTATGTCAACAGTATAACAGTTGCACTTGCTGTTTACATCTCCAATGACATAATACATATTAATGAAATAATTTAGTCACCTAAATAATTTTATTACAGTCATAAATATAAGAATATGTGAATTACATTCACTTGTTGTTTTTACCTTCAATGTACAGCACGGACCCACCAGAACCCAGCTGTGTGTCCATGAAGAGTGACTGGTTAATGGAACCTCCACGTAACTTTAGTGGACACACTGTAACATCATCCGATAAGGCCGATCGTTACAACACTAATCTTGGGTTTAGGTAAATGCTGTACTAAACCTTATATCTTGTTGTATCTTTATTGACACAAAGAAAGAACTGTGCAAATTCAATGCTGTAAAGAGTCTTCAGTGCCTGTATGCAATGCATTTCAGAATGAAGGTCGTAATTAGTAGCTCTGATATGTGTATGTCAACAGTATAACAGTTGCACTTGCTGTTTACATCTCCAATGACATAATACATATTAATGAAATAATTTAGTCACCTAAATAATTTTATTACAGTCATAAATATAAGAATATGTGAATTACATTCACTTGTTGTTTTTACCTTCAATGTACAGCACGGACCCACCAGAACCCAGCTGTGTGTCCATGAAGAGTGACTGGTTAATGGAACCTCCACGTAACTTTAGTGGACACACTGTAACATCATCCGATAAGGCCGATCGTTACAACACTAATCTTGGGTTTAGGTAAATGCTGTACTAAACCTTATATCTTGTTGTATCTTTATTGACACAAAGAAAGAACTGTGCAAATTCAATGCTGTAAAGAGTCTTCAGTGCCTGTATGCAATGCATTTCAGAATGAAGGTCGTAATTAGTAGCTCTGATATGTGTATGTCAACAGTATAACAGTTGCACTTGCTGTTTACATCTCCAATGACATAATACATATTAATGAAATAATTTAGTCACCTAAATAATTTTATTACAGTCATAAATATAAGAATATGTGAATTACATTCACTTGTTGTTTTTACCTTCAATGTACAGCACGGACCCACCAGAACCCAGCTGTGTGTCCATGAAGAGTGACTGGTTAATGGAACCTCCACGTAACTTTAGTGGACACACTGTAACATCATCCGATAAGGCCGATCGTTACAACACTAATCTTGGGTTTAGGTAAATGCTGTACTAAACCTTATATCTTGTTGTATCTTTATTGACACAAAGAAAGAACTGTGCAAATTCAATGCTGTAAAGAGTCTTCAGTGCCTGTATGCAATGCATTTCAGAATGAAGGTCGTAATTAGTAGCTCTGATATGTGTATGTCAACAGTATAACAGTTGCACTTGCTGTTTACATCTCCAATGACATAATACATATTAATGAAATAATTTAGTCACCTAAATAATTTTATTACAGTCATAAATATAAGAATATGTGAATTACATTCACTTGTTGTTTTTACCTTCAATGTACAGCACGGACCCACCAGAACCCAGCTGTGTGTCCATGAAGAGTGACTGGTTAATGGAACCTCCACGTAACTTTAGTGGACACACTGTAACATCATCCGATAAGGCCGATCGTTACAACACTAATCTTGGGTTTAGGTAAATGCTGTACTAAACCTTATATCTTGTTGTATCTTTATTGACACAAAGAAAGAACTGTGCAAATTCAATGCTGTAAAGAGTCTTCAGTGCCTGTATGCAATGCATTTCAGAATGAAGGTCGTAATTAGTAGCTCTGATATGTGTATGTTGGCCTGCTAAAAAAGTGGCCAAAACCACTTTAAAACCAGCTTGGGAGACCAGCCAAAGCAGTCAATCAGCTTAGGCTAGTTTTAGCTGTTTATTTTCAGTAGGAAGTTGTTAGGCATTGCTATAGCAATAGACAGCTTAAATACACCATACGTCTTATTGTATGAAATGAAAGTCTATGGGATTTTAGGTGGTTTTGATAGTCTGGTTTACGAAACCCATAAGCCGAATCAGTTAGAAAAGATACAGCAACCCGAGTCAGACCAGTCTGAAGGTCTGACCCGAGTTTGGTGGTTGTAGCTTTAAAAGTCTACGAGGAGATACATTTTAAAATTTGGTCTCAGAAGAAGAAGAAGAAGAAGAAGAAGAAGTTTAAATAGGATTTCAGTAAGTTGGCTTTTTCAAGCCAACTTAATTATTCACTACTACTGCTGTAATAATTGTTATTATTAATGACTTCAATGCCTGTATGCAGTGCCTTTCAGATTATATTATTTGCAAGACCTTAATTAACAGCTATGATATGTGAATATGTTTAACAGTTGCTCTTGCTCTTATGTTTTCACCCAAATGATTTTATTACAGTCAATTTACTTCAATGTACAGCATGGACCCACCAGAACCCAGCTGTGTGTCCATGAAGAGTGACTGGTCAATGGAACCTCTACGTAACTTTAGTGGACACACTGTAACATCATCCAATAAGGCCGATCGTTACAACACTAATCTTGGGTTTAGGTAAATGCTGTACTAAACCTTATATCTTGTTGTATCTTTATTGACACAAAGAAAGAACTGTGCAAATTCAATGCTGTAAAGAGTCTTCAGTGCCTGTATGCAATGCATTTCAGAATGAAGGTCGTAATTAGTAGCTCTGATATGTGTATGTCAACAGTATAACAGTTGCACTTGCTGTTTACATCTCCAATGACATAATACATATTAATGAAATAATTTAGTCACCTAAATAATTTTATTACAGTCATAAATATAAGAATATGTGAATTACATTCACTTGTTGTTTTTACCTTCAATGTACAGCACGGACCCACCAGAACCCAGCTGTGTGTCCATGAAGAGTGACTGGTTAATGGAACCTCCACGTAACTTTAGTGGACACACTGTAACATCATCCGATAAGGCCGATCGTTACAACACTAATCTTGGGTTTAGGTAAATGCTGTACTAAACCTTACATCTTGTTGCATCTTTATTGACTCAAAGAATTGTGCAAATTCTTTGTTGTAAAGCAGGCATATTCAAATGGCCTGGTTCCAACAGGAGCGCGAGACATAATGGCAACAGCAGCACCATTTTACCATTTGTAGATAAAGTGAGTGCTTCAAAACAATGGAGCGGTTCACACCAAAAGTGCTCAGGTTCGTTTAATGATCTTTTTTATTATTATTATTTTCTTTTTAATCTAGAGCCAAACGGGCTTTATTCAAGCCCTTCCCGTGTGCGTTGCTTCTCTATAAAGACACTAAAGCACCATAAAGAACTGTGGATGATGCTGTTATTTTAAAAACATAAGCAGAAACAGTGAGCAGAAAAATAGATAGATACTTGGACCTCCACTAGGAAGGAAATATAGAGACCAGACCACTTGGATCTTTAATTGAATGCCCCTGTTGTAAAGGGTTTTTAGTGCCTGTATGTAATGCATTTCAGAATGAAGATCGTAATTAGTAGCTCTGACATGTGGATGTCAACATGATAACAGTTACACTTACTGTTATGTCTCCAACAGCATAATACATAATAATGAAAGTATTTAGTTATCAAGAACATTAAATCATTACAAAGGTTGTTAATAGCAGAATGTGTGAATAACATTCACTTGTTTTCATCTTCAATGCACAGCTCGGACATGCCAGAACCCAGCTGTGTGTCCATGAAGAGTGACTGGTCGATGGAACCTCCACGTAACTTTAGTGGACACACTGAATTTGGGTTTAGGTAAATGCTGTACCAAACTGTTTATCTTATCACATCTGTATTGAAGCAAAAAGGAATTGTTCAAATTTAATGCTGTAAAGGGTCTTCAGTGTCTGTATGCAATGCATTTCAGATGAAGATCTTAAAGTATCCCTATTATGCAATTTCAAAGGTTCCTAATTTTTTTTTTTAGACATTTATAGGTTTACATGCATCCAGTCATAAAACAAAACAAAAAAACACTTTATTTGTCATACACTGTAGATGAGATGTTGTAATTGTGTAATTCCTTTACATAAGAGGTAACAAATCTATGTCACTGACTCTTAACATCCTCATGTTTTGGTAGTACAGTACATGCAAAGTGGTTCTGCTTTCTCAGTGCAGAATACAGCGTCTTCTACATGGCGACAACACAAACTGAGATCTTCAAGGCCTCAGCTAACTACAGTGTTTAAGGGCGGGTGAAAGTACATGTTGTTCGCGGACAGACCATTATGCAAATTTGTTACAAACCTATGTAGGTTTGTGCAGAAATGTAAAGGCTGGAATTACTGACAACTCATTTCAGGCACTTCAGAACCGTCTTTTCTGCTTTTGGGAGACAATAATTGCATTTGTTATGCACTTTGTAGAACTTTTATATTCACAAACAGCTATATTATATGATACCTGAAAGAAAGAAAAAAAAGGGGCACTTTAATTAATCAGTTTGGATGTGGATGTGAACACTATAACAGTTGCACTTGCAACTGTCACTAATGTCCCAGCAGCATGATGCATTTTAATGAAATTATTTAATTACCAAGAGAACTATCAGTCATAAGTGAATTATTATAAGAAGAGTGTGTATGACTTGCATTGAATTTTTGTGTTCAATGTCAATGCACAGACCATACCTGCCAGCATCCAGCTGTGTGTCCAGGAGGAGTGACAAGTCAATGGATCCTTCACTTAACTTTAGTGGATATACTGATCTTTGGTTTAGGTAAATGCTGTGTTAAAAATGTATTGACATGTTTATTTTTTACATGTATGCATTTGACAGATGCTTTTAATTTATCCAAAAAGACTTACATATATAGTGACTTACATTCTGATAATTTGATATTTTAATAGCAATGACCCTCAACATGCCAAAGTCCTCAAGACATTTAGATCTAATCTGAAGAAGAAGTTTCAGTGTCTGTATGAGGGAACAGCAAAGCAAGGAAACCCTACATTGCTGAATGAGATCTACACAGAGCTCTACATCACAGAGAGTGAGAGTGGAGAGATCAATAATGAGCATGAGGCGAGACAGATTGAAACACAATACAGGAGAGCATCAACAGAGGACACACCAATCAAATGCAAAGACACCTTTAGGCCTTTACCTGGACAAGACAAACCCATCAGAACTGTGCTGACAAAGGGAGTCGCTGGCATTGGAAAAACAGTCTCTGTGCAGAAGTTCATCCTGGACTGGGCTGAAGGGAAAGAGAATCAGGACGTCCAGCTCATATTTCCCCTTCCTTTCAGAGAGCTCAACTTGATGAAGGACAAAAAACTCAGTCTTTCAGATCTTCTTTACATCTTTTTTCCTGATACCAAAGAAATGGAAATCTCCAGTGACAAATATAAAGTGTTGTTCATCTTTGATGGTCTGGATGAGTGTCGTCTGTCTCTGGATTTTCAGTGCATTGTGAGGTTGTGTGATGTCCGTGAATCAGCCTCAGTGGACGTGCTGCTGATGAACCTCATTGCAGGGAATCTGCTTCCCTCTGCTCTCATCTGGATCACCTCCAGACCAACAGCAGCTGATCTCGTCCCCTCTGAGTGTGTCCATCGAGTGACAGAGGTACGAGGCTTCAATGAGCCACAGAAGGAGGAATACTTCAGGAAGAGAATCAGTGATCAGAGTCTGGCCAACACAATCATCTCACACCTAAAGTCATCAAGGAGCCTCCACATCATGTGCCACATCCCAGTGTTTTGCTGGATCTCAGCCACTGTTTTAGAGAAGATGTTGAGTGAAACAGAGAGTGGAGAGATTCCCAAGACTCTCACTCAAATGTACACACACTTCCTGATCATTCAGACCAACATTAAACATGAGAAGGACTATGAAAAGAACGTGAAGGATGAGGACATGATTCTCAAACTGGGGAAGCTGGCTTTTCAGCAGCTTGTGAAAGGCAACCTGATCTTCTATGAGGAAGACCTGAGCGAGTGTGGCATTGATGAGACAGAAGCATCAGTGTACTCGGGGTTGTGCACTCAGATCTTCAGAGAGGAGTTTGGCTTGCATCAGGGGAAAGTCTTCTGCTTTGTTCATCTGAGCGTCCAGGAGCATCTAGCAGCTCTATATGTGCTGCTTTCATTCCTGTTGAACAAGAGGGATGTGCTCAATGAAATCGTCAGCTCAAAACATGCACACAAGTTCACATGTCACACAATCTCTGACCTGCATCAGAGAGCTGTGGACAAGGCTTTACAGAGGAGGAATGGACATCTGGACCTTTTCCTCCGATTTCTTCTGGGTCTCTCTTTAGAGTCCAATCAGCTGCTCCTGAAAGTCCTCATGACACATGTTGGAAACATCTCGTACAGCAAAGAGGAAACGATTGAGTACATTAAAACAAGAATAAAAATGAATCCATCACCGGAGAAATCCATCAATCTGTTCCATTGTTTAAATGAACTGGGTGATCATTCTCTGGTGAATGAAGTCCAAGAGTGTCTCAGATCTGGAGGTCTTTCAAGCACCCGATTGTCCTCATCACAGTGGTCAGCTGTTGTATTTGTTTTATTAACCTCCAAGCATTTGGACGAGTTTCATTTGGGTAAATACATAAGCAGCAAGCAAAGTCAAGATCACATGACACCAGATGAAGTACTTCTGAAGCTCTTGCCGGTAGTTAAAGCCTCCAGATCAGCTCAGTAAGTAGCACTTTGGCCTGATTTTTTTAGACAAAAGACACACTTGAGTGCCTCTTCCTTTTAAGATAGAACTGGAGATTAAGATGCTAATTTCTTGGCTTGGGTTTTGAATTTCTGACACCTATGTTGTCTGTGAGATCTCAACTATTGCCCTTGCAGTAAGACTTTCTCTAACCTTCTGATATAATGAATTTCATTATATGTACACTAAATTGGCATTTGTGCTTGTTGGATTTTCCTTAAACCAGCTATGACATTTGCCCAATAAAGGAACCATGTTTGAAGTGTTTACATGATCTTCATACTCTTCAAGTATAAAATATGACAAATAGCCTAATATTTGTCTCTTTGAAGAGCACAGACACAGTAGAGAGGACACAAACACCAGCGAACAATTAAAAACATTCTAGAAAATTATTATAAAAGATCAGTACAAAATGTAGAGAGGGAACATTCACTACAAAAATATTTTAAATGAGGCCAATAGTGACCATCCTGTTTGCATTAGACATCGGAGAATTACTATTATTATTTTGCAGAGATATTAATACTGTTGTTACTGCTCTGTGACACATTGTACATTTGAGTTTTATGGTTGTTGCAACCACTGTAATCACTATGATCATTGATGAAGCCCACTGTTAAACTGGTCTTTGTGTTCTGAACTAAGAGAGTGAAGAATTTGTCATTGTTCTGCAGGTTGAGTAATTGTGGCGTCACAGCTGAAGGTTGTGCTGCTCTGGCTTCAGCACTGAGATCAAACCCCTCACGCCTCAGAGAAATAGATCTGTCTAAAAATAAACTACAAGACTCAGGATTGAATCTGCTCTCTGATGGAATGAAAGATCCCCACTGTAAACTGGAGAAATTGATGTAAGATCATACATTAATCTCAAATGAGACAAGAATCTTATTATTTTAAGCAGGGGTGTCCAAACTCGGTCCTGGAGGGTCGATGTCCTGTTTTGCTCCAACTTGCCTCAACACACTTGCTTGGAAGTTTCTGGTATGCCTAGTAAGACCATGATTAGCTGGTTCAGGTGTGTTTAATTGGGGTTGGAGCTCAACTCTACAGGACATGGGCCTTTAGGAACAGGATTGGGCACCCCTGATTTTAACAGTCTATTGACAGTGTTGTTGCTCTGTTCATAGTGATTTGCATTGACACACAATAAGCAATAGTAGATAACAAGTGATAAAAACATTAAATTTTCACAGATTTAGGATTTAATATTATAATCTCTCTGTGGTTGTGCAGTAGTTCCTGCTGAACTATGAGAGTGAAGAGAGTGTCATTGTTCTGCAGGTTGAGTCATTGTGGCGTCGCAGATGAAGGTTCTGCTGCTCTGGCTTCAGCTCTGAAATCAAACTCCTCACACCTGAGAGAACTGGATCTGACATGGAATAATCTACAAAATGCAGGTTTGACACTTCTTGCTGCTGGACTGAAGGATCCTCACTGTAAACTGGAGAAACTGACGTAAGATCATACATTAATCTTAATTGAAACAGTTATATACATGAAGGGTCTATGATCATGTTGTTCAGATCACTACCCAAAAATGAAAATGGTCTCATCCTTTACTCACCCTTCTGCTGTCCCAGATGTATATTGTTGTTGTTTTTTTGTCAGATAAACACAAACAAATATTTTTAGAAAAATAATCCATCTCTAAGACTTTATAATGCAAATGGATAGAAACCCCAAAGCTGATGCTTCAAAAACGTCTGGTGCATTAAACCATCGGTTTTGTAAGAAATATATATATATATGTAATAAATGGTAATATAATATGAATCATAGCTTGTGGTCAGCTGTCTTTGCTTGTTTTCATATGAAGAATCAAAGTCATTTACATCTGGGATGGCATGAGGGTGAGTAAAGGATGATATCATTTTCATTTTGAGGTGGACTTTTGCTTTAACATAATAAACTAAATGAAAACTAATGATAAAAAATGAAACCCACACAGATAAGGGATTTAATATAATTGTCTCTATGTGGTTGTTCAGTAGCTCCTGCTGAACTAAGAGAGTGATGTGTCATTGTTCTCTGCAGGATAAGTTATTGTGATATCACACATGAAGGTTGTGCTGCTCTGGCTTCAGCTCTGAGATCAAACCTGAGAGAACTAGATCTGACTGGGAATAATCTAGGAGAAGGAGGTCTGACGCTGCTCTCTGATGGACTGAAGGATCCTCACTGTAAACTGGAGAAACTGAGGTGAGTTCATACATTAATCTCAACATAAAAATGTTAATGAAAAATTGCCAATATGTGACCGAATGCAGTGCACTCTACAAATCTTGCCGCCCTTGGCAAATATGAGCAAAACAGGATGTTGAAAAATGTTTTAATTGTTAATCATTCTGTCTATCATTCAAAATATTAAAAAGCATGTAACGTTTTAATTGAAACAAATGTATACCACAATTATTGATGCCCCTTCATTTACTAGTGCAGCTCCTCTTTGTCTTTTCCAATAATGCATGCTAAGAGGAGAGACCACAAGGCAAGTGATCTGGTACTAATCACCCATACAGAATCTTTCTAGATTCCTCAGATTTTGAGATTTTCATCTCACAGTTTATCTGTCAGAAGACTGGGCTGGCTATAACAAAACCTTGATTTTCTGGTGTCTGAACCATTTTTGTGTTGTTTTTGGAGGTGTACTTTAGATCATTGTTAAGTCAGGTGTTGATGTAATATCTATACTGGATGAAGTCCATGATACTATGTATACTAACAAGTTGTCTGGCAAACAGTTGGTATAGAGTATGTCCTTTGAAGACAGCAAAGGGCTTTGCCAGTGGGCCTTAATTAATGGTTAAATGTTCAAGTCATGTCGGATAGCTCATATTTACGAGTTGATCACACATGCCACCACAAAGTTGTAATTCTGAGTAGGAAACTCAGAATATTATTTAAACCCAGAGATTATGAGTTGGGGACGTGTCAGTGAGAAAACATTTTGAATGCAATGGATGCAGCCAGAGCCATTGACCATAGATATGCAGCGTCTGTACTGACGGTAAAGTTGTTGAAATAAATTAAATGATTCTCTTTTTTTTGTAATTTACAATAAAACTATCTATGTTGCATGTGCAAAATATGATAGCATTGCACAATTATAATAGTATATATACCGATTCCATTTACTGCACCTTCATAAATGGAATAAAAACAGAAAAAAGCAAAAACACAGTGATGCACATTCTTTATTCATTATTTTCTAGACGTCGAGTTTAAAAAATCATGTTGAATTTCATATAGAAAATGCAGGCTGCATAACCATCTAAACATTTAAAAATAAATGTACAATATAATTGGGAATATTCACATTTTTACTCCTGTCACGATCTCCAGCTGAAGTGCCCATGAACTCCACCAGAGGGCACTCCACCCCTGACTCTTGCCACTCTCACAGACTACATTTCCCATAATCATTTTCCCGGACTCATCATCACTTACTGCATTCACCTGTGTCTTGTTACCTCCATCAGTCTCACCCTATTTATAGCCTGGTTATCCATTCATTCATTACTCAGTATTGTCTAGCCTATAGCGTTCCCTAGTTCCTGTGTTTTCCTGGTTCCTTGTTGCCTTGCTGCCTTGCCTTGTTTTTGACCCTGGACTGTTTCTGAGTTCTTATTGTTTGCTGCCTGCCCTGACCTTTGCCTGTTTTGTGGATTACTCTTTTGTCTCACCCTGGATTATACCTGTTTGCTGTTGTTTGACCCTGCCTGTTTTGACCACTATTCTAATAAAGCCTGCACTTGGATCCTCAACTCCGGCATCACGTCTCCTACGTTGCACCTCCAATCATACACCTACAACAGGTGTCATAGTGACTAACAATGTTAGTATGGACAAACCCCATACAACTGAAAAAAATATATAAATTATTCGTATTTGAATTTCTAGACAAATATTTTTAGAAAAATAATCCATCTCTAAGACTTTATAATGCAAATGGATAGAAATGTAAAATTAAAATGTTTTCATACAATTTCATACAAAAAATTTCATACAAAAAAATATTGTTTTCATACAATTTCATACAAAAAATTTCATACAAAAAAAAAAAGTGATCTGCTTAAGTTATTAAAAGTGCAATAAACTGCGGAAGAGAACTAAATTCAGCACTTGCACATTGGCAGTCGGCAGTCTGTGCCAAAAAAATATTTTTAAAACATAAAAGCAGCATTTGTTCATGCACTATGTTGCACCTCCGCATATAGTATTTTAAAATGCCTTCTCTTTCTGGGTTGTAACCACTGATTTATATATGCAGCTGGATTGCTCTTAGAATTCTAACTGCTAGCAATCAGTGAAACTCCCGGAAGTGTTTGAGCAGCCATGCTCCCTTTTGGGAATTCCCTTTAAAGTCTGGAATTTCTCCTGCTATTGAGAAATTACATTCATATTCTTTACAGTAGTGAACATCAGATTGGCTGACACACGAGACACCTCAAAATATGTATTACAAATGTTAAAGTGCGTTCAAATTCTGAAATCTGGATACAGATTTATGCTTTCAAGTCTTAAACAGCTTTCTCGCAATAACTGTTTTACTGGTGTGCATGTAAACAAACATATTGTTCTCTGCAGGTTAAGTGATTGTGATATCACAGCTGAAGGCTGTGCTGCTCTGGCTTCAGTTCTGAGATCAAACCCCTCACACCTGAGAGAACTGGATCTGACTGCGAATAATCTAGGAGACAAAAGTGTGAAGTTGCTCTCCGCTGGACTGAAATGTCCTCACTGCAAACTGGAGACACTAAAGTAAGGTCTTACATATTAATCCTAACTGAAACAAGACACGTTATTTTAACAAAGCCCAATTTTAGTCGGGAACTTTCTGAAGTTTCTTTAATTCGATGTGAAATTACCCTATACAGTATATGTGAATGTGAGTGTGTCATTGTTCTGCAGGTTGTGGGATTGTGATATCACAGATACAAGTTGTGCTGTTCTGGCTTCAGCTCTGAGATCAAACCCCTCACACCTGAGAGAACTCAATCTGTTGGGGAATAAACTAGGATATAGAGGTTTAAAGCTGCTCTCTGTTTTAAAAGATCAACCACTGTATAAACTAGAGACACTGCTGTAAGTACTATTGATTCATATCATAAATCATACCATATCATAATCATATATCAAATCATATAGTTTAATTTGAACTAGTCAATTCCCTGACCATGCTCCACAATGCATTGTTGTGTGTTTTGTTTTACTGACAGGTATTAAATGATGGTTAATATGGGGCCAATACAGGGACATTCTCATCAAAACCGAAGTCACGGTGACCTCACTGGTGTGTTTGTGGTATTTCTATTAATGACTTTACTGTATATAATTGGAAATATTACGTTTTTGTGTACAATCTATTAAAATCTTCCTCCCATTCATGATCTGGTGGACAGTTTTTATAAATTTTGATGTATTATTTGCATTATATAGTATGGTAGTTTTATGAACGTGTACAGACGCACGCGAACTACAACTGCTTTGTGATACTTGACCTGACCTGCAAAAGACAACACAGAATTGGGACATCTTTAACTCTTTTAAACTACTAAGTACAGTAGTACAAACCAATAAATAGTACAATCGCAGGTATCTTCTTCTGAAATCCCAATACATCCAATTTGTTGTTTCCATAATCGTCTTCTGTTTTTTTTATTTCCATTCCCAACATCTTCTTGTGGACAGTTTTTATCAATTTTGATGTATTATTTGCATTATATAGTATGGTAGTTTTATGAACGTGTACAGACGCACGTGAACTACAACTGCTTTGTGATACTTGACCTGACCTGCAAAAGACAACACAGAATTGGGACATCTTTAACTCTTTTAAACTACTAAGTACAGTAGTACAAACCAATAAATAGTACAATCGCAGGTATATTCTTCTGAAATCCCAATACATCCAATTTGTTGTTTCCATAATCGTCTTCTGTTTTTTTTATTTCCATTCCCAACATCTTCTTGTTCTTAGACTAGTTAAAAGTCATGGGATGCGCAGACAAGTTCAGACAAGACACACAGATGTGTGCAAAAATATAAAACATTGTGCTGTAAAAACTGCTTTTACATTCAATGATATCACTGAACTAGTTTTGGAAGTAAAAGTTCCAATAAATAAATAAAATAATAATAAAATGCTCCAAAATGCCTGTATACATTGTCAATAATTTTTTTTTTTAAAAACAGATAGCATAAAGGCTCCTCAATACTATTACAAAAGGAGCATTCTTTACCAATGTCCATAAACTTAGAAAGTAATATATTAGATGGATAGATTCTATGTAAGATCTTGAAATGAATTTCTCTTTATTTCAAATACAAAATTTGTAAAGCAACAGCCACACCTTTTTCCAGTTATCATCCCTTAAAATGGAATTCCTATATATCATGAAAAACTTGTATAATATAAATTAATAAGCCCAGCATGAATAGCTTTCACTACTACCAAAAATTATTTATATTTTATAGGAAAATTGAAGACACTCAAAATCACTAAACATTGTTAATTTTCATTGCTCAAAATTTGAAGGAACATGGGTATACCACTGTTATACTAACATGTTTGACAAAATAACCAAGGCATTTCGATAAAAAACATTTTGTGGAAAACACAGTGATCAGAATTAGAGGACAGTAACCACTGTAGCACGAAAGAAGATTACAACTACATTTTGGAGGTCTACAGCTGTGAAAAATTAGTAGGAATTGTAGAGGCCCCTGCTTTGAATGACTTCAGCACATCCGCGGCTGCAGGACATCACTAGTTTCTCACACTGCGCTGGTGGGATCTTGGTCCACTCTTCTTCCACTCTCTTCCATAGTTCGGTAGCTGTAGTGGGTTTTTTAGCCATAACTTTGTTGCCAAGGATTTTCCAGAGATTTTCAGTCGACTTTAAATCTCTGGGCCGGCCATTTCATTATTTAATTTTCAATGTTCTTAGCTTCAAGGAAGTGCTTTATCCGTTTTGCAGTGTGACAGGGGTATTGTCTTGCAGCAACCTATTAATTTCTTTACAGGTAGAATCCTGAACAAATAAAGAAAGGCTGGGAAAAATAAATCTAGATAAACCTCCTGCCTTTGATAATAGGACTTTGTCGTAAGCCAATATCAAAGATTAATTTTGCTTTCTTAACTTTGCTAATTAAGCTGTTGCCTAACTGATAACTTTTTTCATAGATAAATTCCTAAATATTTAATACATTCCTTTACTGGAATGTTAAAATAATGATTGTTCAGAAAACCCATGCAAAGAAAGAATTTCACATTTTGTGATGTTCAACATTTTAGCTCATTTTTGCTCATTTGATTTTTATCTTTCAAAAATATAAAGTTGTATCACCAGCCAAATGTGAAATTTCTCTATCAAATAATGTTATACCATGAAAATTAAGATTTCTTACTATACTAGGGTGCATTTCCCAAAAGCAACTATGGTCGCATGTTCTGTCATTGTCAACAGAGTTCAGTGTAACTTACGACCATAATTAGCAAACGATGCTTTTGCGAAACACACCCCTGATTGATAACAACTACACTACAATCTAAAACAAAAATTGAGCTATCGGGCAACCCTGCACATCTATTGATAGAAAATTTCCTAGAGGTATTAGCTTGCTATATAATTGAGCTATTGATGCCTTTGTAAAACATTTTAATTGTTTGAATACATTTATTTCCAAGATCAAACAAAATTGGTGCTTTGTGTCAAATGACTTGTAAAAGTTCAGAAACAAAATGAGTGCCTCTGGAGTAACAAAGTGATTATAACCTATAGATCCAGTACAAGCCTAATATTAGAACTAATATGATGTTTAATTATATTACCTAAACCACTTTTCAGTCTGGTTGGTTAAAAAAAAAAGCTAAAATCTTATATATGACATTCAATAACCTAATTGGTCTCCAATTTTTCAATAAGTAAAGGGTCTTTATCTGGTTTTAGAATTAGGCAGACAACACCTTGTTTCATTGTTGTACTCATTACTTTATTTTCTAAACATTCTTTATGCCATATAGAGTATTTTATTTATTATAATTGTTAGGTATAACATTTTTCATAAAAGGAATAAACAAAAGATGCTGTATTAGGATGGTTACTGGAAATTCTTTCATTTATTTTTAAGAAAGATAGAACTTATTGCATAATTTCTCCTTTCTAGAGAAAAAGGTAACTATAGTGTTTCTTTTCCCTTCCTTTACCATTTCACCCTTGACCTCACATAAATGCGCAAAGCTGACCTCATACGTCATCCGCCCGGAGCTGCTTCCGTGTACAACTGTTGGCGCAAGCTACATTAAAGTGATTATTACGTTTTGAATATGGATATTTTTCTTACAAAAACGCATCGATTCGCTACAGGAGGCCTTTGTTCACACCCCGGAGCCATGTGAGACACTTTTTTTTTATGGATGGGCGCTTTTCATTGAACTTCTTTTGGACTGATGCATGCAACACCCGCTGAGTGCCATGAAACAGCTTGAAAGATCAAAGACAATTTTTAATATAACTCCGACTGGATTCGTCTGAAAGAAGAAAGTCATATACACCTAGGATGACTTGAGGGTGAGTAATTTATGGGCTAATTTTCTTTTTTGGGAGAACTAACCCTTTAATGATAAAATTCTTCCTGGAAATGAAAGACTCTGTATTCATCATAGCAGACATAAAAGTATTATATTTTGTGTAACAGCACTGTTTATTTATTTATTTTTTATTTAGCCACTGTATTGAATAAATACCTGGGGTTGTGTTTTCTTCTAAAAGAGACGAAAAGCAAGCAGATCTTGCAGTTTTTAAGGCTTTTCTGTATGCAGAAGTACATTCCCTCCATGCAATATGAAACACCTCTAGTTTTGTTTTCTTCCAGCTGCGCTCCATTTTCTGGAATGCTCTCTTTAGGGCATGATTGTGCTCGTTATACCATGGTGTCGGACTGTTTTCCTTAATCTTCTTTAAGAGTAAAGGAGCTGTCTAAAGTGCTAGAAAAGAGAGAGTCAATAGTTTCTGTTACACTATCAAGCTTTCTGAGCTATTGGATACTGAGGAATTGAGACAAGTCAGGAAGATTATTTACAAAACAGTCTTTTGTTGTAGAAGTGATAGTTGTACCATATTTGTAATAAGAAGTTGAATTTGCAGCTTTAGCTATATAAAGTATACACAAGACTAGAAAATGATTCGAGATATTATCGCTCTTTTGCAGAATTTCAATGCCATTGACATTAATTCAATGTGATAGAATTAAATCTAAAGTATGATTATGACAATGAGTAGGTCCTGACACATGTTGTCTAACCCCAATAGAGTTTAGAATGTCTAAAAAATGCTGATCCAAATGCATCTTTTTCATTATCTACATGGATATTAAAACGACCAACATTTAAGACGTTATCTGCAGCCAGCACTAACTCAGATAGAAAATCTGCGAATTCTTTGATAAAGTCTGTATGGTGTCCTGGTGGCCTGTATACAGTAGCCAGTACAAACATCACAGGGGATTTTAGTTTTGTTTTCTTCCAGCTGCGCTCCATTTTCTGGAATGCTCTCTTTAGGGCATGATTGTGCTCGTTATACCATGGTGTCGGACTGTTTTCCTTAATCTTCTTTAAGAGTAAAGGAGCTGTCTAAAGTGCTAGAAAAGAGAGAGTCAATAGTTTCTGTTACACTATCAAGCTTTCTGAGCTATTGGATACTGAGGAATTGAGACAAGTCAGGAAGATTATTTACAAAACAGTCTTTTGTTGTAGAAGTGATAGTTGTACCATATTTGTAATAAGAAGTTGAATTTGCAGCTTTAGCTATATAAAGTATACACAAGACTAGAAAATGATTCGAGATATTATCGCTCTTTTGCAGAATTTCAATGCCATTGACATTAATTCAATGTGATAGAATTAAATCTAAAGTATGATTATGACAATGAGTAGGTCCTGACACATGTTGTCTAACCCCAATAGAGTTTAGAATGTCTAAAAAATGCTGATCCAAATGCATCTTTTTCATTATCTACATGGATATTAAAACGACCAACATTTAAGACGTTATCTGCAGCCAGCACTAACTCAGATAGAAAATCTGCGAATTCTTTGATAAAGTCTGTATGGTGTCCTGGTGGCCTGTATACAGTAGTCAGTAAACGTCACAAGGGATTTATCATTAACACTTGTTATACTAGATAATGTTATATATAAAGCACCATTATTTCAAACGAGTTATACTTGAAGCCCGCCCTCTGAGAAATACTGAAAACATTGCTATAAATTGTAGCAACACCTCGCCCTTTACCTTTTGGACACGGCTCATGTTTATAACAGTAATCTTGGGGGGTAGACTCATTTAAAGTAATGTAATCGTCTGGTTTTAGCCAGGTTTC